AATCAAAATGGCTGTATTACCCGAACAGAAGGGTGCTACCACGTGTTCGAAAATTACGGATAGTAAAATACTCAACTTATATTTCATAATGGTCTCCACAACATAAGGGTAGGTTTGAATATGTGCTTTTTAAGACAACAAACTTCTAAAAAAGTTTTAACTATGGCCATTTTTTTAAGAAAAATGTATGTTTTTCTTTGGAAAATACATAATAAACCATATTTTCGCATTTTTTAATAAACAATATTAAAAAAGCAAATATTTACGCCGGCGTCGATATTTTTTATAATATAAAATATTTAAAAAAGGAAAATTTGGAATAAAAAATCGCGCGATTTTTTATTAAAAATTTTCGCCTGCGGCTCTATTTAAAAAAATTTAAAAACCTTGAAAAAGGGTAACCAGTAACCATAATAGACATCACTGGTGCAGCAGCCCCAGGTTTACCACACAGAAAGGGAATTCTAGTTACCTCATCCTTTCCCAAGGCTACATCACTGGGGCGGTATCCCCAGTTGGTACACACCAAAAGGAGAATTCTATTTGGTAAGGTTTATAATCCTAAAGCGCGGCCGAAGGCCGCCTACGCAGAAAGTAATTCTACGCAAAAATACTGCAGACGCAAGTAAAAATTGTGATGATAAATCGTCTGGCAGCATCATCATCAACATGCATATTCCGTCGGGACCCATGGCTTTGGAGGCTTTCGCCTTCCCGATGGCCACCTGAACCTCAGCGCAAGTGAAAGCAAGGCGGGCACAAGTCGTTGGCAGTTTGTGCAGCCTGCTAGTCACTCGACGCTTGGCTTTGTCCACCGGAGGATGCGGTATGAACTGCCGGCTAAAATAGCTCGCGCATCGCTCCGGGTCCGACGATGCATGATCGCCGAAAGAAATTTCGACCATGTCGGTGTGCTTCGTCGGATTGGACAGTGACCTCACGGTTGACCAAAGCTTACTCACACCAGAGGTGGAGTTACAAGTCTTCGGATACTCTTCCCACTTCCTCCGCTTTTGTACGTTCACTAGTTGCCGAATCTCCGCGTTGAGATTCCTGATACGGGGATCTCCGGGATTGGCCTGACGAAGGCTGTAATGCTCATCGGCTAGAACAGCCGCATCAGCAGGGAAATTTGGACGTGGGTCCGTTATGCATCCTGCCGGTACGAAGCGAGCTCCAGCAGCAGCGACAACCCTGCGGAACTTACTTTCACCAAGGCGGACGTCGGTTGGTGTGCGGAGCGCAGCGAAGGTGCTCTCAGTAAATTCCGCGAAGGCTTTCCAATCAGCTTTAGAAAAGTTGGTATAGGTCCGGTGTTCCGCGGAAGCAAAGTCGGTTGGTTTATTGAACGAGATGACTATGGGCAGATGGTTTGATGACAAAGTCAGCATAGGTTGCCATGATACGCTGTTTATCAGACCAGCGCTTACTATTGTTATATCTTCCGAGCTGCAGCAGCTGCCCATAGTCCTGGTGGGTGCGTCGTCGTTCATTGTGCAGAATGTCGAATCGTCTATCTGCCCAGCCAAGTCAGTTCCCCTACGATCGTTTGACAGGCTTGAGCGCCAAAGAGCGTGGTGCGCATTAAAGTCACCTACGCCCATACGGTTTTCACCTCTGAGGAGCGCACCTATGTCAGGGTGATATTCTGCCGGGCAGCAGGTGACAGGGGGTATGTACACATTAAATATTTCGAGCTCAACATCGCCTGACCGGATAGCAATGCCCTGACATTCTAGGGTGGTATCCCTGCGGTCGATGTCTGCTTCAATAAGACGCTACTGCACGGTGTGGTGCGTGATGAACGCTAAGCCAGCACCACTATCTCGCTCGCGATCTCGACGGTGCACGTTGTACCCGGCAAAATTCAACAACGTTGAATTGCTGTGCAATTTCGTCTCTTGAACCGCAGCTATCAATATACCATGCCTTCCCATGAAGACGGTTATCTCCTAGATCTTGCTCTGAAGTCCGTTGCAGTTGAATTGAAGGAGCTTCACGTGGATCGGGAGACTTGTAGTTAAACGGGGTTTGAGGGATGTGTGTGGCCTTGCCGCCATTGGCTGTGTGTGCCGCTGTGGAGGTTGCCGCCCTGTGGTGGTAGGGGGTGGCGTCGCAGT